TCAAACATTATACTGGGCAAGTAAAAATAGTTTCTGGGCAAATGAAATGTGAAAGCCACTTGCCCGAAATCCTTAACATCAACCCCTGCATACACTGTACGGGATTTTGCCTTTTTAGGGCCGATTCTCTAGTCGGAGAACTTTCAGCCTCGTCCTGCTTTGTGTAGAACTAAGGAGGGGCGATTAGTCTCTCACGACCATCAGGCTACATTTCACCTCCTGTAATTAATAATCTCTAGATAATAAAAAATTATATATTTTTTTATTTATTGGGAGTATAATAAAGAACAAGGTCAGATAAACACAACCTCAAATTAAAAATTTGCCAAACAAAACAAAAAAAAACTCGCCATTACTCGTCCTTCACACACGGCTACGCACAGAGATGGCTGCTGCAGACGGCTACCGTTAGCCACAAAGGTCGGCTGGTTAACCCGGTCCTCTCAACATCTTAACTTTTTTCAAATCATGCACTAGATCAGTAAATGGGCCGTATAGTGACGCTTAAAAGCATAATGTTCTCGCCTGATCTTAAAACGTACTTTTATAGAACAACGGCAACAGAAAAGTGAACTTTGAACTTAATACTCTGAGCTCTGTGAGCGATAACCTGGAAGCTGCTGCTGCCGCAGTGCATGCTGGGACAGCTGTCAGTCTCAAGAGTGGACAAGTCTGCTCTGATGCATGCTGGGTAACAAAGGAGGAGCGAGAACAACATCCGGGGACTTTATCTGTTCTCGGTCTGCTGATCTTGTCAACTGGAACAGTACTAGGGCTGAGGCTGATGACGTTTCACGAGTACACGAGAACGCACAAGTACACATGTTGAGAAACAGCCAATCTCTTCCCCAATTAAGTGCCTCAGGGAATAGAAAGAATCATTTCTTTTTAAAATGGCAATTATATTGAAAATGCAATTAATTGCCCTGATCAAGTGTTTACAATATTTTGAAGGGATGTTTTTGAGAATTGATTCCACATGTGCAGATTGAACCCTTTGGCCTTGAATCACACTTTCATTTGCTATCCTAACAAACATAACCACACATAACAGTCTGAAAAAGTTATTAGATTAAGTATTAAATAACAACGGCATACAACTTTACAGCTGTAGACCTTCACAGCCAACACAGAACAGTTGTTTACTGAGCTTAAATTAGACCCGGGTGGAGTCTGTCTATTAGAGTGCTTATTAGGGCAAACGGTTTTACCTGCATAAATTTAGACAACATGACATGTTTTTAAAGGCTAGAAGTCACACACTTGTTAAAAAAAAATATATATGCCTGCTGTTTCTGCTCCCTAAGCGGGACGCCATGGTGCAGATTGGGTCAAACTGAACTAAACATCAACCTAGATGTGTGAAATTTTCTGTATGTTCTGAAACCAAATGTACACAGGACTCTTATTTACTCAGGCGGAGCAGAGGGAGGGAGAGCTGAGGGTGGAATTTCAGAAATCTGGCAACAGTGGTGCAGTTTCTCTCTATCAATCAAGAATTAACGACCAAACAGGCCGAAAACGAGGCGTTTTTATCAGAGTTCAGCAGAAGGTTTCATGGGTTCAAGTGAAGGTTAGACGCTGCTGCAGAGCTGCCCATGGGTTCAGGCAGGGGGTGATGGATCCGTGTTTAGGTTTATAAAAAGGAAAGCTGTGAGTGATAGCTGATAGAGCGTTTAATGGAGGTTCAGAGGAGGGTGAAGGGTTCAGTCGGGGGGGGCCAAACCCAGCTCCAGATGCATTTGTTTAGGAGTTTTTTTCGGGGTTATGAAAACAGTCAGCGGTTCAAACTGTGGTCATGTCCTCCGCTCTCGGTGTGTGTGTGTGTGTGTGGGTACCGGGTAGTTCCTGGATCGCCACCTGGCTGAAATCGCAGATGACGTCAGGCAGCAGGTATCTCCGCGGGTCGCCGATCTCATACACCAGCTGCTCGGCGACGGTTCCGAAGGAGACCAGGCCCCCCGTTTCAGGAGGCTTGGAGAGGACGAAGGAGCCGTCGCAGGAACATTCAACCACCGGGAAGCCCATGTTGTCCCTGAGAGCGGATCAGAAAGCAGCGTCAGGTTTCTGTCTGTCAGCCGGACGATCTGAATCTGGGGGATACTGACTCGTTTATACACTCAAAGCACCTAAAAACAACATTTAGTGCTCTTTATTAATCAGTGACAACTCCTTAGTGTTATTTAGGCAACCAAACACAAAAATGTTTCCTTAAACATTGATATCATTTCAATAAACAGCCATCTTGGAAATGTTTAGATTGAGCTTCAAAGTTTTCAGAGTGAATAATATTGCACAATCTGTGGCTTTCTTTACTCTCCAGGAACGGCTGTTTCAAAATCTTTGAAATGTAAACATTACAGATGTTTAACATTTATATGTATTGATTCAGTTTTTTAAACTAGAGGACTACAACAATACAAAATGGCCGCTTCTGGCCCTTTAGGGGAAATTTGCCGTTTTGCTGAGTATCTAAAGATACTGACTTATCAGGAGTACTTCTGATACAGCTGAGAGCTGTAGGTATAGTGATCTTATCATGGAGAAGCTAAGCTAATAGCTACTCTATGTGAGGCTAACAGCTATACTAGCTAACCAGTATTTAAAGTCAGTTTAAAAACTTGCAGAGTTAACCTAAATGTTTAATGGATCTAAGCTAACGGCTACTTGGAACCAAATTAACAACAATTCAGAGGGAAGGTAACAGCTAATTAGAGACTAAAGGCTAATTTATACTTCAGACGCATAGCCTCTGCAACCGTCAAATCTGTCCCCGCGCAGAGGCTCTACAACTGTTGTCGCGCCCCTCAAAAAAATCCTGACTACACGTCGGATGGTCGCAAACCTGTGCATACCTCAAGCGGAAGTGCGCAGACAAAAAGCAGCTGTGATTGGTCCTTGGTATGCCTTTCTGGCTGTCTGTGCGGTCGTCCTTCTCGATTCTTTGCCGGGGCGCGCCATTTTTAAAATCCGAGGAGCAATAACAACAATGGATAACCACAACGACAGGTTGATCGAGGAGGCTCGGAAGTACAACCACTTGTACGATGCCTCAGACATGTTGGGGAAAAAAAAAAACACCCCCGCCACAGAAACAGAACAAGTGACCATCACCAGACGTTCACGCGAACGCGAGTACACGAATACCCTACCCCTAGCGCGGGAAACGGAAACGCCTCCCCAGAAATACAAAACCCAGACCGAAGAAGCAGAACAACAAAACCAAAACGCGGTCACACCCAAACGAAAGCGAAAGCGGACGGATGCAGAAGCAGAAGCAGAACCCAACAACAACAACAAAAGTAAAAAGGTCCCAAAAACCCAAAAAACCGAAAGGAAACAACCAAAAAAAACAAAAACAAATCAAAAACGCCCAAAAAATAATAATCTAGAGTAAAAATTACACTATTGAAGCTTCTCAGGTTCTCAAAGCCAGCTAACAGTTTATGAGAGTCAAGCTAGCAGCTAGTCAAAGTCAAGCTAACTACTGAAAATATTTAGTTATGGATATGGGACAAGTTATGGATGAGTTCTTCCAGGTTCAGATGGTTAGTAGCACTCAAAAAAATCAGAAAAAAAAACAATTCTCTCTAAAAATTAGGGCTGTCTGACGAAAAAATGTAGTTAGATACTGAATACCGATAAATACTATTCACAACCCCACTTAGAAGAATAATATCCCTTTTGCGGAGAGAATCAAGATAAAAGCTATGCAAGCTAACTGCTATAAGTAAATCAAGTTTATAGCTAATATGTTAAGTGATGGCTGCAATCAAGCTAACAGCTAATACAATTCAGAACTGTGCATAAAATAATTATCTAGAGTAAAATAAAAAATAAAAAAATAACATTATTGTAGCTTCTCAGGTTCTCAAAGCCAGCTAACAGTTTATGGGAGTCATGCTAACAGCTAGTCAAAGTCAAGCTAACCGCTACCATGAAGCAAGCTCACAGAGGATCACTTTTACCACAATTTGTAGGGAATTTGAAAGTTAATCGAAGTCAAGCATCATTTATTAAAACTAAGAGGTTCTCAAGTCCTAGTTAATGTTTTTAGGAGTTAACCTAACAGCTAGTCGAAGTGAAATTAACTGATTTTCAGTGTTAAGTATGAAAAAAAAAAAGTGATCAGCTAATAAAATCTACTACTTATGAAACTTAATGAAAGAAATATAGAAGAAGGAAGAAAATCTTAGCTTGGTTAAAATCTTCAATTAAGGTAAACTTTATATGTATGGAAGTTAGTTAAAGTCAAAAATGTTTCTAACAGTCTCACTAAAAGTATTTTTTTTTTATCTAGACGTTTTACTGCTTTCTTTTCCCTTAAGATAGTAAAATATCTATATAAACTAATGAAAATATTTGGTTATGGATATGGGAGAAGTTATGGATGAGTTTTTCCAGGTTCTGATGGTTAGCAGCACTCAACAAAATCAGAAAAAAAAAAAAAAAAATCTATGTATAAATTAGGGCTGTCTGACAAAAAAAAAAGTAGTTAGATACTGAATACCGATAAATACTCTTCCCAACCCCATTTAGAAGAATAATATCCCTTTAATATCGAGGCTCTAGTTCAGGACATGATTCAAATCTGAGTAAATCACAGAAAAAACTGGGATGGATGATTTTTTTTTTTCCTGTTCAAATTTACCAGTCTGGAACTTGATGCCAGTCGGTAAAGATGCCCCCGGTACTCTGAGCGCCACACTCAATCAGATGACCAGCCAGGCTGAGAGACAAACAACAACAACAATAATAAGGGCTTAACAAATGCATAAATAAACATTCTGATGTAAATTATCTAAAAGAAATGTTAAAAAGCTTCCAATTATGTAGTTAAAATGATTCTGATTAAGTTTTGGTACCTCCCTGCTGCAAGCAAGTCGTAATCGTCTTTCTTCCATCCAAACTGCAGGAGAAAAACAGATTAAGAATAAACACGTTTAGGCCACCAACATAAATCTTTCACCACAGCTCTAAAGTAACTGAAACCACACTTTTACAAACTGAGTCAACATTTAGATACAATATTTGTTTCTGTAATTTACACCTTCTGTTGAAAAGTCCAAGCATGAAACGATATTTAGACTTATGTTGTGTTCACACCTAAAGCAGCAGAAGCAGCTAGTTTAAATGCAAAGTCAATGGATGAAAAAGCAAAAGGTCCCGCAGCACGTCTTGAGCCTCTGAGCATTGGACGCGTGCGACGTGATACAAACGCAGCAGCTGCTGGAGTTCGAAAAATTGAACTTTTGCTGCTCAATGCGCCACATCAACCAATCAGAAAGCTGATCTGGAGCTGGCAGGGAGACAGACAAAGTGCTGCAGGACTTTATTGAAACCGTTTATTAACGCCTAGCATTTAACGTTTATTAAAGTACCTGCCAGTAAAATATGTTTGATTTTATTATGCTGGTCCCTGCAGTTTGGGCTAAACAAGTGCACCCTTTCTGAGGCTGTCGTTCTATTGGCTGGAAAGGTTGCTAGGCGACGATCCAACTGCAATCTGAGAGAGAGCAGAAAAAATCCGCAAGCAGAGCCTACGGGTTTGCGTGCGTATCTGAGACTCGAGCAGAGCGCGGTTTGTGCGCAAAGAGAAGGAGGCAAGCGAGAGGAGAAAATATCTGTGCAAGAAGCATTAAATCTGAGAGAAGAAACAAAGATTTGAGAGAGAAGAGAAAATATTTGAGAGAGAGCATGTTTTGAGTTTGAGCATTATAAGTTTTGAGTGTAAGAAGATTAAATTATTTTCTTAAATTGAAATTATGTGCTCTTGCATTATGGCAGGATAATTCTAGCTCCACCCACGCGCATCAGACCCACTTTTTCCGCCACGCAGCCAGAGCAGCAAAGATGCTTCAGCTGCGCGTCAGATCTGAACTATTACAAAAATCTAAAATAAAGCAGCACATGAGTTTTTGCTGCTCCTAATGCTTGCAGTCTGAAAGTAGCATCAGACTTAGACAAACTTGATTGTCATTTTGTTTACACAGAATGTATCCAAAATAAATTTTTGTTTTCTGCAGCTTTCATAACATTTCCATTTCTTAAAGTGCAGCCTTGATCAAAATGTAAACATTTGGAGAAAGAAACATGGTGAAAAAGAAATGCATTGAGCATTAAAATATATCTGGTGCAAATATGCAGTGTTTTGGTTTGGTGTTATTAGTTTGATGCAGAGTCTGTGTCATGATTTAGAGTTTTTTCAACATTCAGCTGTCTGATGGTGGCGGAGAAGAAGCTGTTGCTTTTTAAACCCCCTCAGTTCAGCAGCAGCAGCAGCAGGGCTGTGATGCTTCCCTCTCCATGGATGCTAGCCGGTAGCCGTACCGCGTGCATGAGCGGCCCCAGAGCCACGGCGCTGTCCACGCAGCGCCCCGTCACCACGATGTCAGCTCCCAGATCCAGGCAGCGGCGGATTGGCTCTGCCCTGAACACAGGGGAGGGTCGTCAAGTCACCAACAATATTTAAGGTCACTTACTACATTATACAATCAGATCTGGTTTGAATCCTTGAGAAATAACCTCATAATGATCCTGAATCATTTGTTTGATAAATATCACATGGATTCATTTAAAGTTTTACTTCCTTTAAGCCAAAAGTCACCAAGGTGTCTAGTTTGATTTGATGGTAAATAGAATTTTTCTCCTAGTGCTCGCTGTGTTCGTACCCGAGGTAGGCGTTCATGCTGTGCAGGGTTTTCGGCAGCGGCTGTCTGCCGCCGTCGGCCATCTTTACCTCAGACAGGCGGCTCCTCTGCAGCATCGGAGAGAGGAGGAGATCAGCTCAGGTGGACTTAATCGCTACACATCATGATTTAAAAAAAACAAAAAAAAACGGTCATATCACATCAGAGGAGGGGGGGTCGTACATGGGGCATGAGGTCATCACCGGTCACCACGGCGACCTTCAAGTCCAGCCCAGCCTTTTTGACCACTTCCTGTATGGCGTCGCTGCAGGCCAGAGGGTTCACTCCCCCTGCGTTGCTGACGACGCGGATGCCTGACGAGAAGAGAGGCCTGCGTTGGCTGTTGCCATGGAGACGGAGGGCGTCTCCCGCGGAGATGTGGACTCACCTTTCCTGTGGATGTCGTTGATGAACGGAGCCAGAGCCACCTGGACAAAGTCTGGAGCATAACCCAGGTTCTGCAGACGGATGGAAAGTTAAAACATGGGAGACACCGCCCTCTAGAGGCTCTGGACTGCAGCTGCAGCTTACACTTTAATACTTTTCATTAGTAGAACTAAATACAAATAAAAAAAAATTAAAAACATTATGAATATATATTAATAAAGAAAAAAACTACCATAAAAAAAACAATAGTTATGAAAAAAGAATAGATAAAAAGCATGAGAGGATGGATGAGAACATGTTGAAATCACACAAAAAAGGTCAAATAAATGAGAATAAAATCTATGAGGCAAATGTGAATAAATCTAATGGATTATACTCATTGGTGTGATATGTTTTTTGCTTTTTGTTATATGGTCAACAGAATCCCCCGTTTACAAAGCTAAATCTAAAAACAGTTAGTGTTCAGTAAGAGCAGCAGAATCAACTGGAACATCAGCCCTAAGCGGGCGTCCTGCTGACAGATAAGAGACTCACGGGCATCTTGGTCCTGGCAGCGGTGAGCAGAGACATGGTGATCTCACTGAGGTAGTCAAACACCAGGAAGTCCAGCTTCCCGCCGTAGATCAGCTGAGGGACTGAGGACAAGAACAAAAAAAAGGGGGATGAGCTTCACGGCGCCGGATATCAGCAACAGCGTCCATTTAGGTTCTCAGCTACAGTTACTAGTTAAATCTCCAAGATTAACATTTAACTCATCACCTGGACATCAAATGATAACGGACCACCTGACTGAAAGAAAGGACAGCATTAAAGGGGTCATAGAATGATTCTATAGGGTATTTGGTCCTTAAGGTCTCTAATAGGGTGTGTAACATTGGTTGAGCTGAAAATGGCATATTTGCTGTTCTATGAGCCCTAATGCAAGCCTGGTTAAAAGCCCCAGAATGAATTGACAGGTTTTCTTCCTTTTATGGTATGCTCATGAATATTTAGAATAGCTGCGCGCTGATTGGTTGGTTTACAACGAGCGAAGCAGCTGAGCAAAGACGCATCATAGCAACAAGCACTCACTCACTGAAACATCAAATTGTTGATATGGTAGGGGGACCAGACGTCCTCTTTTCCCAGACATGTCCTACTTTTTGTACCTAAAAAAATGTCAAAATCGTCCGGGATTTTGGTCGACTACAGTGCAGCACATAGTGGAAACACACCGGGCATTCGGACCCCGGTGAACGGAGGCAGGGAGCCAGTAGGAGACGGAGCGACTGAACCCGACCCCAGTAGCCTGGACACAGGCGGCCCAGTGCTTCCCCACGCCTGCCTTACCGGCCCCCCAGCCCCCCTTCCTCCGGCTGAGGATGGGGGGCTCATGGCTCTACGCTGAGGAAGCTATCCAGCAGTCGACACTTTTATCCACCCGTTTTATGGTGGAAGTTTAGAATTGTGAGATTTGCAGAGAAAGGAGGTGTTGATGGGGTTTGATCTTCTCTGTACGTTCATTTCACCCACTGAACTATCGTTATTCATCTATGACAATGGAAACTCAGGTTTTGCATTCTATGAAACTGCAAACTGTTAAAAGTGCTTGTGGTTTCCTTTAATGCATGAAAAGATCATACAAAGGTGTTGAAGAAGCTGCTCTGGACCCCACACCAGACATGAAACCGGTGGGGAATGAGGAGGGAAGAGTTTTTCCTGGAGACATCTCATCAGGGCAGCACAGGACACGGTTGGGAGTTTCTTCCGGATGCCGTTTTTTTTCCAAGGCATTTTTTTTCTGGCAGGAAGAAACTTGAAAGGTCAAATTTACTGGAAAGTTCAGTTTCTTTTAGTGAATATTTTCCTATAATCAGGCCCAAATCCAGTAATATACTTTAAGAAGAAGAAGAAGAGAATGGTGGAGAAAAGAATCTCAACCAGCATATCCCTGTTCTACAGAAAAGGATTAGGGCCTCTGAAAAAAATAATAGAAAGTTAACTGATTTTTAAATTTTATTTCAGTTTAATATGGGAAAAAAGAATTCTGACTTTAATCTCAGAATTCTGACTTTAATCTCAGGATTCTGACTTTTTTCTCCCAGAATTCTGACTTTTATCTCTCAGGATTCTGACTTTTTTCTCAGAATTCTGACTTTAATCTCAGGATTCTGACTTTAATCTCAGGATTCTGACTTTTTTCTCCCAGAATTCTGACTTTTATCGCTCAGGATT